AGAAACTCAAGTTGTGTTTATTTTCTTCATGATCTGGGTACTTCTTTCCCGCTACGAGGTCCCCTTCTGGTCTGTTATTTCATATGATCTGTTTAGTATGTTCTAGGGATCTGTTGTTCTGTTAGTGGTTTTTTAGTCTGTCCGTCTTGCTGTTCTTCTATACTATCTGTTCCTTTTAATGTCTCGCATTTTATGAAGTTGGTTCTTTATCTATTGAATATTATTTTCATACACCACGCCCACTAATCAAAAGTAATTACAGAAGCTACCTTACAGAGATTATATACCTCCATAACGCACCCAAACCACTCCTTTTTGGAAATTATTACTTTTCGGAAGTTTCTTTATTAAAGAAGAAAAATGGGCTTTCACAAGTTATAACCAACTAAAAAAACTAAAACCTAATTTTTTTTAAATTGAGGGTTTCCCAAAGGCTCCTAACCTTCAAAAATTCCCATGGAAATATAAAATGTTATGCAGATTCAAAAATAAAATAAACATTACCTTCTTTTTTTTGTGTTTAGAGGTAACATTAAACCCCAGGAGGCTACATAATTAAAGTTTATTAACAATGCATGGTGGGATCAAGTCTGATAAATAAAGTGTTCATACTACGTGAAATGTTACCGCATGCGATCTTAATTTTATGCCCATATATCGTGTATGTCTGCTTGGTGTATCACTTAACTTAACATAGTATATAATAAGGTTTTTTTTATTATTCTTGATCCTTTTTCAAACCCGACCTCTCTGTAGACTTATAATATATCTGCTAAGGATTTCCTTTTTTATAAGTAAGTTTTTAAAAACAAAAGTTCATTTAGTAGTTTTTTCCTGCTAAAATAATGAAGTATACGATTTTTGATTTGTTGACGCGAAAATTTCTTATTAAAACATAGTACAAGAAAGAAAAAGAAGCACATAAGATGCAACGAGAAGACGTTGCTATTACCCAACCGGATTGACTCTATTTACAATCTTTATAATAGCTGCTGTAAAAAAATATAAGGGTGTGTTTTTCTCAATAACGTCGGTACGCGCGTTAATTATTTATATCATTGCAAAATTAATTTATTAAAAAAAAAGGAATATGATTAATTATGATACCAAATTTGACTGGATCCTCTAATTTATTTTTAGAAATAAATACCACGTCTTTTTCTCCTTTCCGATTGAAAAAAGTCAAATCCCGGGAAACTTGGTGGCTATTGAGTTGGGTGTCACGGAGGCCGCTAATACGTACTGCGCTTTCCCCTAAAAATTTCAGACGATTATACCCCTCCTGTAAACTTACGGGCGCCCACTTGCTTATGAGAACGAGATTATTAGAGGTTTATTCCAACACTTTTTTTGGGCTCTGATAAAGTACGTGTCTGTACATATCTTAAAGTTTATATCATTTTTCCAACTCTCGTGTATACTTGCTCGGCGCGAGACAACAATTTGTCTACTTCTGCGTCTTGAACCCTCTACTGTATGTGAAAAATTAAAGGTGTTTCGCCGAGCGTATCAGCTGGTGCAGTAGCATCGGGTGCATTTTCAACTATTTCAGGTGTGTATTGGATGCAGTAGGGACACATCCTGGATTCGCCAGGGGAGAGCATGGGTCCATCAGTGGATACTTCCTCAGCACTAAGTTTTAACACTATCCGATTCCTGTATATTCCACAAACGTACGACACTTGTCGTGTCAAGTGTTACTGAGGCAGTAAGTACGGCATCCGAGTTTGCGGGTGAATTTTCAGTCCAAAAACTTATAAAACCTATATTAACGTAGGAGTTAATTAAATTACCTGTCTTAAAAAAATTGATGAACTGAAAGGAGCTTTTCGCTGTTATTAAAAAGACTGCAGAAGGTTACCAGTTGGGCCAAACCTCCCTCTAGGAAATTGCTTGATTTTTTAAAACTAATTTAAAATAACTAATGCAATTTTATGAGTATTTAAGTAAATTTTTTAAGACTATTTTATATCTAATTTTCGAAATGTAAAAAAAACTACTTTTAATTAAAATTTTTTTTTAATGTTAAAGCGGCTATAACTCTTTTTTATCTAATACTAACTGTGCCTTTGTAAGTATATACTAGGACTAACTTATCCGTTGTTTATGTTTAAAATCCTAGCCATACCATATAATACTTTTTGCATTCGAATTGTAAGGCTACTTTACCGGTTAATTAATATATATAGGCAAACTTACAATATGTAGAAGTAAAACTTCATTTAGAGATAGCACAACCTGTAAGTAAGAGGGACTTAGCTTTTAGTAATCAACTATTAAAGTCAAGTTTCCTTTTGCCATGTAAATAGAGTTAGTTTGGTGTAAGTAATAGTTTTTTTATTCACACAATTGTTGGTGCTTGGAGATATTCGTGGTTATTAAATAGTCACGCACGTAAAGTAACTATTGTTAGATTTCTCACCATGCTAAACAGTGAACGCCCATCTTAAAAGGGCAGGAAGTCATTTATTAAGGTATCGAGTTCTAACAACTATTATACGAAAGTTTGACAAAAAAACATATACCCTCACTATAAATTAGATTCCACTTCCTACCTTAAAATTGTAATTTTTTTTTGGAAAAAGAATGCTAATCTCCTGACAGGCACAACTAAATGACGGGTCAGTTCATGCCTGTCGTATACCCTTTAGTTATTAATATATGCCTTTTTGCAACATTAAAATTGGGTTTTTTGGCCTTTAATGTAGTGTTTGTTAAACTAAATTGTTGCAGGAGATTCTTTTTGGGGGCTGAATCCTCTATATTAAGCAAAGTTTAGTTGTATGAACATAACATGCATGAACTTAACGAGTTTGAGTATCACAGCTTACATAAGGGGATATGCAACCACAAAAAAGTATTAAATTAACTAATTACAGCCTAAATTATGAAGACCTAATAAAAATTAATTGTATATATGATGCTTAACTAAGATCATAATATAGTGTGTCATTTTTCTTCTAATTAAGACTAACTAACAAAAAACTACTTGTTTTTTGTTTCTTCGCTCCCTATTTTAATAAACAGCATCTATTCAGAGAGTTGTACTACGTCAGTTAAGAATTAACTTTAGAGTAAATTTGATAAAAAGCGTTATGTCAAATATTTTCTCGTCATCTCAAAATTGCTGTACACCTTATAGGATTATAGATTGTCTATTATATATCAAATATATCACATTCTAACGTATTATCTCTTTATGAATGCGAAAATAATTTTTTAGTATTGTTTATGTATAAAAGTGGATGCCCACCTTAACAAGGCCACTGTGTGGTAGGGTGAAGAAAAACCCCAGTACTTTAATTTGACTAAAAGTATAGAAAGGATGATGAATTTTTACGTAGTATCTTTATTAATCTAAAACGTTTGAGCTTCGATTGCATCCCTGCAATGATTCTTTATTCTTCGCCACTCTTCAAGTCTTCCCATAAAGCATGTAACTTCTACATAACCCTTTCTTCTGTTCTGATGCTATAGATACCAATTAAATAACGAAAAACCTAATAACTTTTATTATTATTATTATTACTAGAGCTTAGAAAAACCATAACTTTTAATGTGTGATGGAATTAAAATTAACATTTTTAAGCTGATAAATTTACGGCAGTCCAGCTCCTTAACTGAAAAATCTCACAGCCATTGAAGAAATTGAAGAGGGCGAGGATATTGTAGCACCCCACTCTAACTCTGGCGAAATGCTTAGGAGACTTTTTCATTGGGGCCCATTAGTTATTTTGGTTATAATGTTGTTAAATTTTAGTATAACAAGTTAGTAATTAACCAAAGTTATTTTATAAAAGTAATATGTTATATTATTAATAGTTCACGTTCACTTACCTTTGGGAAATTCTAAAGTTCCTTCGTTTCTTTTCATTTGCTATGTCGTATGTGTCACTCTGTTAGTTATTTGCTTTCTTTTGTCAGTTTTAACTGATCCAGGCTCTATTCCAAGTGAGTTTGTATGAAAAATTATTATATTATAAATATTAGATATTTAATAATGCCATCACACCTTTTAAAGAAATTTAAATCGTTGGCTTTTGACTCTAAGTTACCATATTGTCACCATTGTGAAAGTTACAAACCGCCTCGCGCGCATCATTGTAAACGTTGTTTAAGGTAATTTGTTAAGCTTTTTAGTGTATAAAAAATTAAAAAATTTTAGCTTAATTTTTAACTTTTTATTATAAAGTAAGTTATTAAAACTACCTAATTTTTTTTAAAATGTTTTACTGATAGGTGCAATTTAAAAATGGATCACCATTGCCCCGTAAAATCTCTTATAATTTCCCAAAGTTTATATCTTAATTATTTATACTGGTTATTTTGTAGTGGATTAATAACTGCGTGGGTTTTCAAAATCAAAAAGTGTTTATACTTTTTTTGTGGTACTCAATGCTTGCAACTTTTCAGAGGTTATGGAATTCTTAAAAAACGTTTATGTTTATAGTCCTTTTATTAAGTGTTTTACTACTTTTTTGATTTCCCAAGTTTTAAAAAAACTAGTTGATCTATTTGTTGAAATAAACTGAAGCTCTTTTGAAAATAAACTCCTAAATAACCTTCTTTTACTGTCACTTATTGCATAACACCACTTATAGCGTACTGATTTCTTTTAAGTATCTTTACTTCGATTTTAATGTTGAAGTTGATGCCAAACTTCTTTTCAGCTTTATGAATTTAATTTCCTCCGGTGCCTCGTGCCACTTTTTCTGCTTTCACATTTGTTAAATTAATTCTCTATACCATTTATTTAGGCTCTCTGTGTATTCTGCTTTCATTAACTTTTTATTCCGAATTTTTAAAAGTTCTTCAAAATAAAACTGAAATTGAAAAATGGATCTGTAAAAAAGTTATTAGCTACAATACTTCATAAACTTCTTTGTAAAATTGAAAAGTTGTTATGCCAATTTTTCAAGTTGAATAACTATTATTCTTTACTATAAGTTAGAAGACCTTATTTCCTTATCACTGTTAATAATTATTGAACTATACGGTAGGCAGAGCATAGAAGATTAATTTCAAATAGAAAAATTGAAGATTCTATTCCTGTACGTAGTTGTTTCTTTACAATTAGACTAAACGTTTATTAAAATTCGCACTTTTATGGACTCAGTCCTTTGAATTTCCGTACGACCTGACTAGGCGCGCTAACTTTAGAACCATAATGGGCCCTTCTAGAACGTGTTTACTGCCTACGAGAGTGCTAGGTTTACTGCGCCGCTATATTCTAATAAACATTCAGTGTATATCTCCCTATTTTCTTACAAAGGTGACGGTGTTACATTCCCTCTACGTAAAGGAACAGATCCATATGCTTTGACCAGAGAGCATCTTGCACAGAAAAGGGTTTTAATTAGTCTATACATGTAACTGTTACCCTTCCCTAATTTTTTTGGTGGCTCCCAACATTGATAAAATCTTTATTTTTATAGAAAATTTTATACCCAATAGTTTAAAAATTTTAGTTATTGTTTTAATAAAAGTAGCGGAGTATTTATATTAATAGTAAATAACATTAAATAATGTACAGTTTATCAATATATGGGTTTAGTTAAGCGTGTACAACATTCCGAAACTAAAAACTTTAAAAAAGAACATACTAGATAAATCTTATGTTTCCAGAACGATATTATACTTAATTAATCTGATTTAATACCAAATTAAGTTATCTTTAGTCCTTTTTTTGTTCTCGAAACTTTAAATTCGGCTTCTATCATTGATCTTGTTTTTAATGACGTCATTCTTTTTCTTTATTTATTTTAATTCTCAATTGGCTATCTCTATAGTAAATTTTGGGGTATTGTTTTATCATATGGTATCAGTTATCTATTATTATAGCAAGTTAAACTTGCACCTTATTTTAAAAGTAGCTTAGTAATACGAACTTTTGAATCCATAAATGTCCCTATGTTTGGAGGTTCAAGCTTGAAGACTATCTGCGTTATAACTTGCTTTAACAGGAAAAACGCCTTTTATACAAAAGCTCTACCGTTGTTAATTCATACAAGGGTACTCATTTCCCTACTGAATTTGGATTGTGTACCTTCCTTCATTCCCCTTTATGTGTAAAAATGTTATAGAAATTTTTGTTAGTTTTAGTGTGGTTTACGTTGGCTTTAACGTTTTAGGAAAATTTGCTCTATGTTAACGTTGGCGATAGAATTGACATATCTGCAAGCAGATCTTACTGGGTTTACGTTGAGAAGGTTCCCTTTTTTTGTTTTGTGAGGAGAGTAAATAATTTTTTTTTATAGACTTACGACAAAAAGTACGAAAAGATATTAAATGAAAAGGAAAGAATGCTAAAAAAGGGATGGATTCCTCGGGCTTGCATAATCCTTAAACTATAAGCAGTCAATAATTCTTGTACATATATTAAAAACTTTTAATGAAAGCATAACCTTAGTATTAAACTTCGATTGTACGTAAAGTATATATAATAAAAAAATTATTTCGAATCGTTAAAAAAAAAACTATTTCACCTTCTTACACGTGTTTATAATAAGTGGATATTATTCAAGGGAGTGCCCATGTGATTAAATAAATTTGGCTTGCGCATCCGCTGCAGATTTTTTCTTTTTGCTTAATGTACGGTTGGGTAGTGTCTATAATAATCAAATAAATTTACAGTGCTTTCTGGAACTTCAACTTTCTTATATTATATCACTATTTTCTATAATATACAAGTTTTCGAGGACTTACAACCTTTGGAATCACAACACATGCGCAACTTAACTTTTACTGGTGACTAGATTTACCACTTTTTTGTTTTGTTGGGTTCCTGCCTAATCCGTTTGAACGTAAAACTCAAACTTACCAGAGATTGTTTCAGAGACCGAGCCTGTTCTTTAGGGTCAAATTTCCATAGACTTACTCTTGCAAATTAAACCTAGGCGACCAAATGATAAATATAGTAACCGGTAACCTAAAAGGGATTAGAAGGTGCAGGAAATCATTCCATTAACGTATTGCATTAGGACGCAATACGTTAATGCCACGGCGTCGTTAAGAAGGAAACAGAAAAGAAAGAAAGTAGGACACTCCTTAGCTCAACTTTAACTTATATTCTGGTCAAAAATTTTTGCAATGGTAATAAAAAATATACTAAAATTATATATTTAATAGAATAAATTAAATTAAAACGAGTAATATACTTATAAATAGCACCACACATTTATTCAGAAAGGCATGCCATTCGGCGAGAGAGTGGGGGGCCATCATTGACGCTAAACTTGAACTTTTTATCCTTTACTTTCTACTAGAAGCAAACTCATAGGAAAACAAGTGAACGCTTATATGTACTATCCAGGCAAGCCTAAAGTATGCATCTGCTGCTGGGACCTACGCCTCTCGGCAATGGTCCCTTCGAACTTCAGTTGAGACAAACAAAGTATTACGGCTTATATCGGGCTTATCGTTAATTTGTGCAAAACGACGATCCATACAAAAACCTTCAGTTAAAAAAAATACATAAATTATAAATATTGTTTTCCTCAAAGTTTAAGCGCATGACTACAAATTTTTAAACTTACGCTTTTATCACTTACGAAGATCTTACTCAGCCTAACAACTGAAAACTAAAAGAGGAGTCAGTTACGAATCATGGGTCGGGGCACGCTATCGCCAACCACATAAACAAATTTTGTTGAATTTATTATATATATCAAAAACTAGCGGTAAAAAGGTAAAATATATTATACATAAAATTACATCTAATTTGTAAGCTAGCATTTTTAGAGAGCTCGTAAATTAACTGTTTTTTTTTAACCGATTGAGCACCATTAAAAAAAAAATTAATATAAAATAAAAAGGCAAAGGATGTAACACTCGGCCCTATACTTTCCTCTTTTCAAGCCCTTGCCCTCAGATCATTCTGCTTAATCATTTTAAACTTTTTCTCACGTTTATATGCGCACTTAAACTAACTTGAGTTTCGTTTATTCTCTTCAGGGGCGGGGGCGTCCCTTAACCTCTTTTCTGTATATATATATATAAATACTATTTATTATTGATAATTAACTTTTGGTACAACGCCCTTCCATCTTCTTAGAAGTAACAACCTCTCTTGATTAGTTTACACAGGAGGTATATTCAAACCGCTTGAGGCGTGATTAGGACTGAAAGACCATAGGGGTGTTCAAACCCTCACAACAAAAAGAAGTGGAAGCTTACCCAAAAAGAGCAGAAATCGCTTATAAAGTTATTAAGTCCTTAATTAACCCTTCAACTAATAAGAATATATTCATACGTTTTGTAAACTGTGTTATCGGACAGTCTAGAGTTTGTTATATAGCTCAAACTTCTTTTTAACATGGTAGCTCTCAAAGGAAGGGTCTTTATTTGGAGCTTCCTCACGCTCGAGGCAAATAAATCGGGTACCTTCATCTCCTTTTTAAGCCCACAGTTTACATAGAGGGTATATATATTCTTACCAGTTGATAGGTTAAAGAGAACATATTGATTCCATTTTCTAATATACAGTTCATCAACTATTTTTCACATTCATATAAATTTAATATTTCATGGATATTGCGAATTCGCATATAAGTGCATCGAACTCTTAATCTGTTATATACGCCGTGTCAAATAGTGGACACCCACTCTTTAGAACGCAGGAAATGATTTATTATAATATTAATTTTACCCCAGGGACCTATACTCAGGGTGAAGTTACGACTACAACTATTTCTAAATTCCGTCAAGCATCTGGAAATAAGGAATAAATAAAAGAGTGTGGTTGCCGAGGATTCGTTAAAAGTTTTATATTATATTTTAACTTTATAAATGCTGACTCGCAATGTCTGTGCTATGTTACAGCTAAACTATTTACTCGTAGAGTTATAAAAAGTATATAGTTCATTAGTATTAACTTGGTATTACATATATATACATATATATAACTATCAAGCAAGGAGTAGCCCACAGAGTTAAGAGGCAAAGAACATACGCAGGAGCACTAAAGAGAACTATGAATTCTATAATTATATTAAAAGTAGGTGTGCTATAGTCAAATATATAACTTTTTCAACTGCTTAATACTTATTTTCTTTGTAGTTTATGAACGGGAGCGAAGGTTAATGACAAGAACAATCTATTAAAACTTTTTATGTGGCGCTCGCCTGCTATATCCAATTGAGCACTACAAGGGTAGTGCACATTATTAATGCTCGTGGATCTCTATGCAGAAAGTAATTTTTACATATCTCAGACATTCTGGATTCTTTCTTAAACGTAGACAACATTTATGAAAGTGGTCACTTTTAATACACTATAAATAAACTAACTTTGCTTAATATATATATATTAATTAAAAAAATGCTTAAAAAAATTATATATGAAAAAAAAAGATCTTTTCGCTTTATTGAAAATTTATGTAGCTCTTTTATTTAAGCAAAAAAATTGTTGGTGCTACACTATAAATTTAGTAAGATTCTTCCCTTCTTTTTTTGAATTTTTCTATAAAAAAATTCAGTCTGGCTTTATATCGAGAACCTCGTTATCATCTTTAGAGTACTTGTTAATAATTTTTCCATTTTGCTATAAATTAGAACATTTTTTAATTAGTATAATAAATAATTCATTAGTATTAAATTTTACTTTCCGCCAATAATATCCACCTCTCGTGCCCGAGTAAAATGCATTAAAAGCTATGTAAGTATTATATATGATTGAGCTTAAACTTTTAATAGCTGTTATGCTTATACGTAACCCCGAGCTTTTTAGATACTTATCTTTTAAGAAGGTAAAAAGAAGGTTTCTGTGGCGTGGGTTTCATCAGTTTATCCAAAATAACGAGAGCAGACTTTGACAAATATAAGAAAGGGTTTCTGAGTTAAAAAAAAACTCACTTTCAATCTGGTGGTAGTCCCTTTCCGTGAAGAGTTCCACCTATTTATAAAGAGCCAATGAGTTTTTAGGGTCTCTCTTTAGCAAACTATTAAGGCTGATTTCGCTAGAAAAGCCTTTTCTTGTGCAATTCGCAAAGCATTTTCAGCTATGCACACTGGCAGTTGAGCGTGATATGTCTGTTTATAAAAAAGATTCAGCAAAAAATTTTATACTTTTTTTTTATTATAAAGACAGTTTTAATTTGTAGGCTTCCTCATATAAAGTTTAATAATCATGAAAAAAAAAATTTTTTTAATAATTAAAGTTTAGCTATAAAAGCAGCGCTATAAAAGAGTGTCACTAAAGTTAAGACAAAGTTTATTAAGGAATAAACACCGTCCCAAGATAACAATAAAGCACTGAACTGGCGTATTTATTTTCAGTGGCCCTTTTAAAATGTTGTTCGGAGCCGAATAATTCTCCTTTTGAAAGTAAACCAATCCAAGGCCGTATCTACCAAAAAGTAACGATAATCATAATTAGTTGACTTCCATTTAAGCGAATTATTATTTTTATTATTATTGGAAAAACTTTCGCCTAAAACTTTTTGTATTATGTTCCTATTGCTAAAGGGTCTAAACTGACACTAGAATAATGAAAAAAGGCTCTCAGTAACTCAAATTAAGATGAATTTAAAATCTTTTAATTCTTAAAAGGTGAGAAATCATTTTATTTTTAGGACACTTCCCACCCGCCGCCTCGTTCGAGGACCCAACCAGGCGAACGGCCGGCTGAAAATTCGTGACTGCCTTCGAGAGGTCGTCCACTACGACATATTCGTGCCCGAGAAGAGTATATGCGTAAGCAAAGTTCGGGTTTAACTTTTTATATGAAAAATAATAAAAAAAGGTAAAAAAAAACTTTTGAAGAACCACATATACATGTATTGCTCTTTTCATAAACTTCAAAGCTGCTCCGTGGTCTCTCTGCATACTGAAGCAGTTTCCTACCTGCAGTAGACAACCGTACACGCGTTTTTTAACAAAAAAGTAGCCGCACCGCGCACCACGCTTCTGCAGAAAACTTATCCAGCGCCACCAGGCCTCTCGTCGAAAAAGTGATACCCTTCTTTTTCTGGAGATGCCAGAGAACCGTCGAATAGACGTCCAGTCCTTCCATTTAATAGGGCGTCAGTCTCCGCACTTCCGCATAGGCGTTCCGCCTATAACAAGTTATAGACATATAACTGAAAAAAATACACGTGATAGGGAAACTTAGTAGACTACACGTGCGCCTTGGCGACTTTGGAGAGTATAAATCCGGAGATGTACTGCGAGGCGGGTAGTTTTTGAAATATATTAATAGCCTATTCGAGACAGTAAAAGCCGAGATTCAACGTCCTCTCAGAGTTAATAGAAAGGGAGTAAAAAGGAGAAGAGTAATAATAAGTGAATACCCTTCAACAATCACCTGAAGAAAAACTTCCAACGAGTCGACC